GACGCGTATTCTTGAATATACCTAGTCTTGAAATATCTCGCCGATAGTGGTACAACCGATGTACTCCCGGCAGGGTCTAGACATCAATTGTCTCGCCTTTTAATTCTTTTCGTTTACGGGTGCCCGCATATACATTTATATTCGTTACGTGAAACGGGCTCCAAGAACGGTCCGCTTGGTCTCTCATGATTTATTTCCATTTCTTTAATGTCAATTCAGGGGTTCGCGGAACCGACGTGAGACCTTCCTTTGATCGGATTAAGTGGTGCCTATCACCGGGTGGACCTAATCATTTTAAACTTAAGCACATTGATTATGAAATTTCATTCGCGTTCGTCCTCAGGGCCTCCGTAGTCAAGTGTCCAACGATTCGGCACACGCAATTTGGAGAAAGAATTTTTTTATTAATGTTTCCACGCTCTATATATATAATAACCCTTTCGTATCACTTTCATGTGTGTTAAGAACGGTTCTTAACACATTGGCATCGGGCTACTTTGAACGCTTGTCTTTTAAAAGTGAGGATTCTCGTTTCCCGATGCAAATGTGTTACGAGCGAGCGGATCGATTCCGAACCCTAGATCCTCGATGATCTCGACGAGGTTGGAGTCAATGCCTCCGCTTGACTCGTCTCGATCCGATCACCTTGACACGCTGGATAATTGAGGCCCCGCGACTTTATGAGCGGCATTAAGGCCTTACCCCTTTGATTGGAGTATCGTTAAGGCCGCGACTCTGAGCGCGATCACCCCGAGACCGGCCGCGATCCACAGCGACGTCGATCGCCACCGATCCATCGATCATTAGGTCTTGCCACTGCCGATTTGCCCCTCGACTACCCACTTTTTCTCCCGCCACGTAAAGATAACAGCAAACGCGAAATCGGTGAAAGTCGTCCTGCTGGTCGCGCCTTTCGCGATCCGGTTCGACTTAACCGGCGACTTTATATATATATACACATATTGACCTTAAATGGCGAGACTTGACACTTGGCTCAGAACCTGTGCCGGGAGTTCCTTTAAGAGACTAACCGTTCCGAATCGATCCATCGATTGACTGGAAGTCCCCTTAAGGGGCGCGAGGAAATCCCTTTACGTCAAAACCACGTGGCGCCTGACCACGTGGTTTGGACGTAGAGGGATCTCCTTGTTTCCTTTGTGTTAAAAAGAAATTTGGAGACTGTAGTGCTTGGGATGATCGTAATTGACATCGAATGTACTTGTTTAATTGAATTTGGAGCAGGGCAGTACGTGCAATGTGTATTTAATTTTTTTTTTTTTATGTATATATAGAGAGGTTTCTTGGGAACCTTAAAAGGGTTAGCCTTGATTCCTCGTGCACCAAGGTTGCTCCTGGAATTTGCCCGAAAGGCCTCGTTTTTTCCGCCCTGGGAGCACTTTCCAAAGCCGTACCTCGGCCAGGTTTACGGCCGTTGCTAACGGGAAGGCCTTCCATATAACCATCGAGCGGCGGCCAATTTTCAGAAATAATCGAACGCACTTTCCACCGATCCGTTGTACCTATCCTCTTTGTGGGTTGACCTTAGAGGCAAAGGAGCAGTTGCCGACCGAGGTACCCTCGCACTTTATTTGATCTCCTCCGCCCCGGATTCGGTATCGCGGCCTCCGTTAAAGGCTATCGGTTTCCCAGATTTTCCGAGCTTTTCCATAATTCTCCGGCGGTTAAAGTCGGGCCTTTAAGAGAGAGAACCCTCGTGACCGTGGTACCTTGCCGCTAAACTCTCGGAAAGCTCTTCGAACGATTCCTCGTACTCTTATCCTCTGTGCTACCCACTCGCCGTTCAGATTTGCATACGAAGTCGGAAGAGGACGTGAAGAGACTCCTCCACTTTGCAGACTTATCCCTGGTAAAAGAGAGGAGACGTGCTCCTACTTCGGTCTGAAGCCTCCCCTAAATTGAAATACGCTATTCGAGGGAACACTGTAACTTTGTTACATTTTCATTCGTTTCGTACCAACACGCGGTGCATTAATTCCATAAAGTTTCATTTATATCCAGGCGACTTTACAAGATCGCATGTATCCATAGAAATTTATAGTGCACGCGCGCACTGTTAGAGATATTCATGAAATTCCAGCACCTTCGGTACATACCATTGTACCTGAATCGCACATTTATTACAAATTCCTAAGTGAACTTACGATTCGGCGATACCATCTCGCAACTTCATGAAACTACCCGGGAAAATCCTCTCCCAAGTTTACGAGGCGTCTCATAAATCTCTTGGAAGTATTTTATATAATTACGATATCCATTTTCAACGGGGTAGTGATTTTTAAAGCGTCATGTTCGGGAAGCGGAATTTTGCGTGGCGGAGGGTGTAGGAATTTTCCGAATATCATTTAGGAGTTTAATCTTAAGCTGCTTGGGATAATTCTGTCGAAAGTATCGTGAAGCTTCCCGGCTTGGGGAGTTGTTCCGGTAAACTGGTACTCCACTCTTCTGTCTGTGCGGCATTACGGCGAAATTGCCGAGATTTTCGCTGACGAGGCCGGAGTGGAGGCCGCCGCTTCTCTCTCCTCCTCTCTCGTCCACACTCGTCTTTTCGCCAATTCGAGAGGGAGTTTCGACCGTTCGATTTCGGGCCGGTCGGCGATCAAAAGCCTCGATGAGGGTCCTCTCTCGATCGGGAGGCAGGAAATGAGACGAGGTCGGGCCGTTTCCGAGTTTTCCACAGGGCTCCCGTGGGAAAACCTGTTGGGTCGATAGCTCGGTTGGAGGGCTCTTCCAGGGGGACCAGGCCGCAATGTTGGTGCCGTGTCGGTGACGTGTCGGTGACGTGTCGGTGCCGTGTCGGTGGCTATGTAGACCGGCGTTGTTACGGACCTATCGACCGCGTGCAAACGCGGAACCGCCGGAGCACCATCGGAAGATTTACCGGAAGAAAAAATCCTGCGGTTCGGGATGGGAAAAGGCGGTCCAGGTCGTCGACTCTCCGTCCTCGGGAAGATCCTGGATAACCGCGATAGGACGGAGATAATATGTCGCCGATCCTGAACAATCGACATCCCGAAGGGATTTCGGGTACCTTGACGTACGGCGTTTTTTCTTTTCTTTTTAATTTTTTACGTAACTTACGTACGTACGTTATTTACGTAGTACGTAATTTACGAATTAACAGTGGTCCTGTTTTTATTGTAATAGTCGTTTCGGGCGAGAACTACTATCGAAGAATTTTTTTCTTTTTCTTTTTTCCATCGAATACTTGGGAAGAAAGTCATGCAACGGAGGGTAATGAGCGAACCCTTATTATCTGGCCTTGCTTAGGAATTTTCAAGTGCCGCGTGAAAATTATTAAATTTTTTACAACGAGAAAATATGTATGAATTATGACCGTTCATTGACGACCCTGCGAGTATCTTCATTTTTTTACGGTTACCTTCCTTCCTTTTTTTTTTTCATACTTTTGTTCGTTAACAAGCGCCTGGAATAATTTATATAGATCGATTCCGATCTTCCAGGGTTTTCAGTTTATCAAGAAATATCGAATGATTCGATATTTCGATGGAAATCCAGGATGGATGTTAATTGCAAATAGACTCGTAGACCAGCGGAGGTATTTTTATTTTTTTTTTAATTATTTCCTTTTCATTTCGTCAGATGGCAAACCGGCTGCGACAAATGCTACGCGAGGTCGCGTTAGGATTATCGATGAAGATGTAGATTTACTTCGTGTTACCTGTCGCTCCTTATTAACATTGCAAATCGCGATATTATGACTCCTGTCGTGCCGGGCTCTCGTACGCATCTAATTTCACTAAGAAGGGATTTCGTCCCTGTCCGACGACGTAGTAATAACTCCTAACCGAGAGGAAATTAATTATTCCCATACTTCAAGACTTTATCAGCGTACCGGAAGTTCACTTTATTTTCTTGCCCGAGACTTTACAAAAGAAGTTTCCCCGAAATCTCGGGGAAACTTCATTTATAAAGTCTCAGGCCCCTCAGGGAAATGCCGGAATGATTATGTCGCTTTTATTATTTCCTTTCTTTTCTTATTTTTTTTTTTCTTTCCTTTATTTTCACCGAGTTCTCCGGCGTGTACCCTCGGCTTTATCCTCCATCCATCTTCGCGATATGCATATGCGCCTCGGTGTGCACATGGCAAATTATCGAGGCATGTTAACGGCCTCCGCGAGACCGGTCTCTCATATATCCAATTAATCAGAGAACTATGCAGTATAGTTAGCTCTTGGAATATAAATATTGAGGATAATTATCCTGGGGAATATTTTATATTTATCGAGAGGTTTATTGATAACATCGCGTCGATACGAGCTTCGGATGGGTCGGGCCCGATAGGTGCGTAAAGCTGGCGCCTCCACCTTTTCAAAATTCAAATTTCTTTATCCTAACATTTTGTGCTCTTTACGTGTTAATTATGTGCTACATACGGAAATTTTGTGCCGGCTCGGTTTTTGGAAGAAAAAAAATTGAATTTTTCTGTGGGGGTGCTGGGTACTAATAAAGCTAGCACCTCCACCAATAAAAAAGGGGAATAATTAAAAATAGGTGAAGACTTATCAGGAAATTAGGACCCGATTATCGGAATATCGAGACTGGACGCCTATCGGCCGACTTTTTCGTAATTATTGTTTCCCTTGATCTTTGAATTGCTAATTAGCACATGCCGGCCACCGGATGGAACACCCTGCACGTTGGTCGATTAATCGGGAGATTAGCGAGGAATCACCTCGGTACTCTTCTGGATGAAAAAGCGACGAAACCCGGGACGAGTCATGGACACGTCTAATTAATCGGGGCTTAATGACTGCTTTAATCATTCCTCTACGCGCTATTATTCCGAGTGATCATTCCCCAATTAAGGCGATTAGAGACAGGACTTTCTCCTCGTTAGATTTAATTTACTCTCCGGGAGAAATCGACCCTGTAATTAGGATAGCTACTAATTGCGATATCGGGATTGCGTAATAATTCGATTCATTAAATCAATCTTTCTTTTTATTTTCTTTCCCCAGGCCCGGTGATCGGTCCCAGTGCTCGGTCAAGGAACGCTTTTCCATCGTCCCACTCGGTATGTTTGCCTTAATTATTCCGTTTTAATTATTTCAATGTCCCCCATGTCTTGAGCAAATATGTCCTTTTATTTTAACCTACTGAACGCCCTGAGCAATGTGCACTTTTCGTCGCTAATGACCGTAACAATTGATGGGACGTTAATTTCGATTTCAAGAAAAATGAATAAAAAATAAGGCGCACGTGGGGCAGAGGTATGACTCCTCGATTAAACGATATTAAACGGAATTACCCGAAAGATGATCATTTTATCCCGTGCCGTCAGACAAGATCCTATTCGTTGAAATCATTTTATCGTAGCCGTTTAACGAATTTTTTTTTTTTTTTTTCAATTAATCTCGACATGCCTTCCCTCCTCGGGGTACGCGCGTGTTCATCAAAGTGCAACATTGCAAAGGGTGGAAAAGGTGCACCCTCGGCATCGAATCGATCGGAGGTATCGAACTTATCGCACCTAGGGGTTCAACCCTCCTTGGTCATACGCATTGTGCGCACCTCCGATTATCCCCCGGTCTCTGTGCGCGCACACAGGTCGCGAATTATCAACGCATGCTAACGACCGTATTAAGGAACCAGCCCGGTTGGGGGTAATTAATCAGTAAATTAGCTCAGGATCACCTCGAGGCCTCTCGGTGCTCTCGAAAGGGCCCAGGTCGAGTACCGGGCGAAAAAAGCCGAGACGAGTATCTCGGTGCATCAAATCGGGGATTTCTCGCCGGCAGGTAATTCCGGTTGGCGGCGATCCCCGATCCTGGATATTCCCTCGGGACTGGTTCCCTCTCCCTTAATCCGAGGAAAGAACCGGCCGCTTCCTTAACCGCCACGCTAAATAACGACGAACTTACCCGTCCCGACCAATGAGGCCTCCTTAGGCGGCGAGGGGACAAGTATGCACCTTATGCACCGTAAGTGCACGCGTGTGCATCGCCGTGCATCGCATCCACGAGTGTCCTCTCAGGTCGGACGAGGAACGCTCTATGTGCGACCTGGACAACCCTGCCACGGCTTTTCCCGTGGACGAGGACGGTGATGTCACCCCACGTCTCTCCCCCGGTGATAATTCATACAATGCGCGATATTAATCATCCGGATCTTCTGGGAAAGTGGAACTTCTTCGCCCACTGATAACAAGGCCCGTTGGAACTTCACTTATCCTATCATTGATTATGGCACGATGATTGCAGTAAACTTACATTACCTCTGTGATGTCACATTAGGGCATCTAAGTTAAATGAAAGGAAATTGATAACGTGGTGTTACATTTAGTTCAAGTAGATATACACTATTTTCTTCCGTGTGAAAAATCTCAGGTATGAGGTGGATAAAAAATCCACGTAAATTTCATTGTTTCTTTTTTTCTTTTCTTTTTTTAATCAGTGCCGCAAAAAGCCAAATGACCCCGGTGGAACAACGCGCACATTGTAGATGCATTTTCTTCCACGTGAAAAATCTCAGGTATGAGGTGGATAAAAAATCCACGTAAATTTCATTGTTTCTTTTTTTTTTCTTTAATTTTTTTAATCAGTGCCGCAAGACGCCAAATGACCCCGGTGGGACAACGCGCACATTGTAGATGCTGTGGGTATAGGATCATGGCAAGATGGGTGAGCTCTCTCTCTCTCTCTTTCTACCGAGCGGCCACTATCGGTTCTTTCTTCTCCTCGACCGATGGGTAGGTGGACGAAAGAGGAGGGAAGGGAAACGGGAAAGTTTATCGCGAAGTAACGAACGGTCGACAGCTCCGTGATGCATCGGTAGCGATCCCCATTGGCGTAGGGACACCGAGGATTGGAGGTCTTATGCCGTCCCACTTCTTGCGGGACACCTTTTCTCGGATTTCGTGTCCCTCCCGAGCTCCGCTCGTACCTGGTGTACTCGCCCTACCTGTCCAGGGTTGACCGTGGTCAAGGCCTCGAGAGAGGGACGGATCGAAGACGGATTCCCATTCTCCTAGGGACCCCGCTTCAATGTCCCCAGGACGGAGGACTCGGGAAACGACTTCAAAGGCTTTGATAAAAGGGAGCTTCGAAGATTAGAAAGTAAGGCAGGGGCAAGGGGGTGGTTTTTCTGCCGCACCATTTTTTCGCCCTCGGTCGTTATCACGGGTTATCGCGGACTTTTCTCATCCCAGATCGAGTTATGGGTACGTGGGGTACTTGCCCCACCTGTGGTTGGCCATGGTGGACGCATGGACTGGGACTACCTGTCTTACGTTGACCATGGTCAAGGTCTCGAATGGCACATGGAAGATGGAATCGACGGATTTCCTTTCGCTCTTTTCGCTCTTTCGTCTTTACCAAGTGGAGTTGAAATTTAGCAAATGTTTCCCTAGGACTCGTACAAAGTAAAGGAAAACAATTAGGATTAGGGAAGTCAATTAGGATTAACGCTTCAAAGGGTACAGGTTGTTTAGCGAAATAACTCGAACGGCTTAAGGGAAGTCTCTCGAGCACTTTGCATTATCGTTACGAGGCGTACTCTCCATTACCCTAAATTATACGATTTCCTCGTGATTAACTTCGATGTATGAAAATCAGCCGATTGAATTTGCGCAAAGGAGTACCTACCAGGTACTCGAGGATGCACTTTTTTCTTTTTTCTTTTCTGGATAAAAGGCGATGCGTCGTCCCTCATCCGGCCGAGCGTGTAGGCTCCTAATCAAGCATCGCGAACACCTCGGGTAAATGTACACACCTTTAATGTATGCATAAAACACGGCGCGCCGCGGTTAAATTAATTTATTCAATTCGGACTTGAAACGTTATGCAAATCCCTCCTCCGGCGTGTCCTCGATCTGCTTATAATTAAATCATAGCGATTTCACGGTTTACCTTGCCCGTGTACGTACATGCTCGGTGCAGGTATCCATACAAGGTGTTTCCTCCGGGTTCGGTAAGGAGTATTTGTACGCACGTACGAGCGCAAACTCTCGGCGGATTTTCTCCCAACTCTCCCACCTATACGCTCTCCTGTACTTGCCTACCTACGGATATCGAGGTACACTGGGAGACATCAATGCCCTCCCATCCTGCACAGGCGATGCCGTATCTGCAGGGGAGGCATTTATGTCCGCCATTGTACACTGGGAGACATCAATGCCCTCCCATCCTGCACAGGCGATGCCGTATCTGCAGGGGAGGCGTTCATGTCCGTCATTGCACTTATCAGTCTTGTTCCGAGTTCATCCGAACATCTGACTCGAAATGAAACGCACGATTTCCTGAATTAGGTATCGAAGCAGACAAGTTGTACACTGGGAGACATCAATGCCTTCCCGTCCTGCACAGGCGATGCCGTATCTGCAGGCAAGGCATTCATGTCCGCCATTGTACACCTACCATTTACCTGGTATTTACCCACCATGTAGACACCTACCATGTACCCTACACCCGGGGGACCGGACCTCGCGTCGCGTGGGTCGCCGACAGATCGAAGGTAGGAATCGAGGCATTAACTATAAAGTAAGACCTCGTTGTCGAACCTCGTCCTCGCGTGGGCCTTATGACCGGCAGGGCCCCGAGGAGTGCGTAGGTCGACGATTTACGAGGTTGACGATCTAAGGTGCACCTCCCTTCTATCTAGATATGATTTCGAACGAATCCAATGTACCACGTTATCCAGGTTTATTATCACGTTGGCAGCCATCGTATTGCGTTAATAATTGATACCCTTAAAAAATGTGGCTTGTTCAAATCGACTGGGTTAGGGCGGGTATCCCAACGCCTTAAAGGTCCAGGCGACGTCTCTCCTCGGGCCCGAGGTAGGTCCCAACCTCCGGGAGATACGCCGTGGATAAGCTTCTCGACCTAGAGGGTTCTCGGTAAGGCGCCCACCTTCGGGCTTCCTGGGAACGCAGTCGTAGATCTCTCTTGGATCTCTTGATCTTTTTTCGAGACGGGCCCTCGAGAAACTCGACTCGTAGGAGGGCTCCTGCTAGACGTCGGTTAGGTCGTAGACGTCGTAGGTGGACGAAGGTGCAGCCTCTTCGGCAGGTGGGGCGGTTCCTGAATACCGAGAAACGAGGCTTAATGAGATGCCCGGAGAAAATGATTGCGAGCTCGTTAGCTTTTAATCCGAGAATGCCACTCGCGTCTCGAAGGACTAGGCGCCCTGAAAGGGCTGGCGAGGTTAATTGCTCGCGGATTTTCTTTCTTTCTTTTTTTTTTTTCATTTTTTTCTCCCCACCTTCATTTTGGAGAGTCGTGGATTTCACGAAGGGAACTTCTGTGATACGGGATGAAGACGTTGGCCCGATAGTGCGTTGCCATGAATCTAAGGGATGCGTAATGGATAAATGTGCCCATAATTATGAAAGTGGTCTAAGTCAAAATTAAAAAAAAAAAATGAGTTTATCAGTTATTTCACGCCATATTATTTCAAACGAAATTAATTCAATGTAATTTCGAAACAAAAAATATATGACTTAGACCACTTTCATAATTATGGGCACAAATAGCCTCGAGATGTCATCCAGTATCTGGACCGCACGTGACAGGTGGATCCGCGACCTGCCTCAACTCCCCCAGTTGAGGCAGGTCGCGGATGCTGGGCATCGATCAAGGCTCCAAATCCATCTTCATCTGTATACCTTCTCACGGTTACTTCTTTCCATACATTTCCGAAGTGAAACTTCTCGTATACCTGATAAGTGTGATCCTGATATCTGCGGTTAATGGTGTCTACACATGAGGTATATGGGAAATGTACTTGGCGCGGGGTTCTACCTGGTCTCTCGGCAGTTCTTTGGAAACATCTCCGGATATAATTCCACGCATAACCGCGCATTCGATTCCTCTGAAAGTCTAGAAATACCAAACGTCGCGTAATGCGACGATTTCCGCGGTTAATGGTACCGGGTGGAGGGAGACGCGGTGCGGTGTACTTGGCGCTTGATTCAGCCTCGATTTCTCGATGAGGGGAACACTTTCCGGGGAAACGAGAAATCCGTATGCCGGGGGAAATCCGGGAGGAATTGTTCGTCGAGGCACTTGCACGGAG